ACAAGCAATGGAATTGTAAAAGCAGTGGCACATATAGTTTGCTTGAAAGAAATTCCATGTCTGTACAGAAAGGAAAAACAATCGGAATAGCTTTGAAAAAACTTCACGTAAACCTAAACCAGCATCAAGGCAAGGTATCACTTTTCCCGGTAGGTTAAATATTCCTTTGCTTTCGTGCGTTATAAATATTGAAAGAAAGGATCGAATTTTCACAACACAAACACATTTGAAAACTGAATTTCTCGTATTTTTCCCTTTCAATTACTGTCTCTCATTCTCAATATGGCTGAGGCAATTGTTTCCGCAGTCTTGGAGCAGTTGACTTCAATCATTAAAGAAAAGATACAACAAGAGGTGAGGCTGGTTGCGGGAGTCAGCAAAGAAGTAAAAAAGCTCACCAACAATCTTCAAATCATTCAAGCTGTGCTGGTTGATGCAGAGCAAAGACAAGTGAAGGAGATCGCTGTGAGACTCTGGTTGGATAAGCTCAAAGACACATCCTATGACATGGAAGATGTGTTGGATGAATGGAACACCGCAATTCTCAAACTGCAAATCGAGGGAGTTGATGAAGATATGCATGCTCCTAAGAAGAAGGTGTGCTTTCTCTTCCCATCTGTTTGCTTTAGTTTCAAACAAGTTGGTTTACGTTGTGATATTGCTATCAAGATAAGAGAAATAAATGAAAATATGACTGATATTGTGAAAATGAAAGATACTTTTAATTTTAATGTGATTAAGAGTGTCGAGAAAATAGAGCAAGTGCCAAGTACGTCTTTAATTGATGAGTCTGAGATATGTGGTCGAGTGGAGGATAAAAGTAGTTTGGTAAGCAAATTGTTGGGTGAGAGTTATGACAATGACCTCCATATCATCTCAATTGTAGGGATGAGAGGCATTGGCAAGACAACTCTTGCCCAAGTTGCCTACAATGATGATGAGGTGATGAAAAAATTCAATAAAAGAATATGGGTGTGTGTATCAGATCCTTTTGATGAGTATAGGATTGCAAAGGCTATCATTGAAGGTCTAAAAGGTTATGCTTCTACTTTAGTAGAATTCAATTCTCTTATGCAAAAAATTCATGAATCTATTAGGGGAAAGAAATTTCTTCTTGTATTAGATGATGTGTGGACAGAAGATTACAATAAGTGGGAACCATTTTATCATTGTCTAAAACATGGTTCCCATGGAAGTAAAATTTTGATTACCACACGTAAAGAAACAGTTGCACGTATGACGAAATCAATTGATATCATCAACGTCAAGACATTGTCTGAAAAGGGTTCTTGGCTTTTGTTTAAGCGACTAGCATTTTTTCGTAGGTCTTCTGGGGAGTGTGAAATTTTAGAAGAAATTGGTAGGAAAATTGCCAGCAAGTGCAAGGGATTGCCTCTTGCTGCAAAGACTATGGGGAGTCTCTTGTACTTGAAAAAAACTAGAGAAGAGTGGCAACATATCTTAGATAGTGAAATATGGAAATTAGACGAGTTTGAGAAAGGTTTTTTACCTCCATTGTTATTAAGCTATAACGATTTGCCCTCCGCAATAAGGCGTTGTTTCTCTTTTTGTGCCTTTTTTCCCAAAGACTACAAAATAGAAAAAGACGAACTAATTAAATTATGGATGGCTCAAGGCTATCTTGGATTTGGAAAACATGAAGAGTTGGAAATAATTGGTCAAGATTATTTCAACAACTTAGCCTCACGGTCTTTCTTCCAAGAGTTTGTAAAAGACCTTAATGAAAATATCATACAATGTAAGATGCATGATATAGTGCATGACTTTGCTCAATTTCTCAATAGAAATGAATGCTTTAGTGTAGAAATCCATAGTCATGAAGAGTCATTGATAAACCATTTTGATCCAGAGAAAGTTCGTCATTTAATGTTGACAGTTAGCGGAGAGGCTTCATTGCCCATCTCCATTTGTAGTATCAAAAGGTTGCGTAGTCTCGTAATTAGTTGTGGAGATTTTTCCTATTCATTGCCTAATGATATTCTATCAAAGTTATTTGGTGAACTGAAATGTTTAAGGGCATTGTGTTTTGATTTCCGTCGTTCACCTATGAGTGAGATTCCAGAAGAGATTGGAAAATTTATCCATTTGCGATATCTTAAACTGAAGGGTCTTACGGGTTTAGAACAACTACCAGAAACTCTGTGCGGATTGTATAATCTACAAAATTTAGACCTTAGTTATTGTAGAGATTTGATGGAACCACCTCAAGGGCTGGGGAAGTTGATAAACTTGAGGCAATTGTTAAATAAGTATACTGAGTCACTAAGATATATGCCAATAGGATTTGAGAGATTAAGTTGTCTACGAACATTAAGTGAATTCACTTTAAGTGGAGGTGATAATAGCAAAGCATGTAATCTTGATTGTTTGAAAGATTTGAATCATCTTGCAGGGGAACTTACCGTAAGAGCGTTGAGTAATTTGAACAATTGGAGTGAGACTAAGAGAATAGAAGGGCTTACTAACAAGAAAAAACTCTCTACTTTGATACTAAAATTCGATAAGCCTACAGAATGGGAGACAATAAGTAAGAATGATGAAGTAGTTCTTGAAGCCTTACAACCACCTCCAAATTTAGAGACTTTAAGTATATGGTATTTCAGAGGCATCACGATTTCCCCTGACTGGATGATGTCACTAACCAAATTGAGGGTGTTAAGTCTATGGAATTTCAAACATTGTAAACATTTACCTCCTTTGGGAAAATTGCCGTCCCTTGAATCTCTGTCTCTAATTTTCATGTTCAGTTTGAAAAGATTGGGAAATGAATTTTGGGGAATAGATAGTGATGCCACATCTTCATCAGTCATTCTCTTCCCTAAATTGAAATTTCTTGAATTTACGGATGCGAGAGAATGGGAAGAATGGGATTGCAGGATTGAAGAGAAGGGAGAGGAAGAAGAAAATATTACAATCATGCCATGTCTTGCTTCCTTGCATTTGTCAGGCTGCTACAAGTTGAAGGCAATACCAGATCAGCTTCTTCAAAGGACCACACTGAAGGAATTGGAAATCTGGCAATGCCCTATTCTAGAAGAACGATGCAAAGAGGGAACAGGAGACTACTGGCCCAAAATTTCTCTCATTCCAGAGTTGAAAATTTGAGGCCCTCTTTAAGTTTGCAAAGGGCAGCAAACCGTTGATTAACAGGTGATTTCTTCTTTCACTCCATATATTTTTTAAAATTTTATATTTAATTCAAAAAGTACTCTCCGTTTGGTATACTTTTTTGAAGAGTATTATATTATGAATAGGATATGATAGGATTCTGAGAATGTATTTATCACATTTTTTGAAAACAGTAGATTTTTTAATCTCTTATATTTGTTAATTTAGCTAAACACCCCATACATTTAGTTTATAAATTAATAAAAACACTCACACCCACCCAAGTAATTGTCGGCAGCCGGCCACCACCACCGGGCGGTGGCCAGAAGTCTCCGGAATGGTGCATGACCGACTGGATCTGGCCGGTTATACATTGATCTAGCCGTTTTCAGCCAGATCTACCATGGATTTGGCCGTTTACATGGTAGATCTAGTTGGAAACGGCTAGATCGGCACATGATCGGCTAGATCCAGTCGGTCGTGTGCAATTCCGAAGACTTTCGATGACATCCACCATAGACCTGACCGGAAATGTCCAGATCGGCTCACGACCGACTAGATCTAATCGGTCGTGCGCCATTTCGACGGCTTCCGGCCACCGTTTATAATCGGTCGTGCGACGATCTGGATGACTTCCGGCCACCGTTTAGTAGTGGTGACAATTAGTTGGGTGGATGGGAGTGTTTTTTGTTAATTTATAAACTTTTGTTGAGAAAATAATTGTTAAATATTTTGAGTTGAATAAAATAAAATTAGATTTAAAAAAATATTAAAACAAACACGTTTTTCATTTTTTAGGATGAGATAATAGAATAGAATAGGATTGAAAAGTTAAACAAAATGAGGGGGTGGGGGGTATAATATTTAAGATCAAGACATCAGTTTTAAATCTTTTGATAATTTTATGTTATGCCTCTGTAATTTCTGTTCCTCCATTCTAATTAGTTGTCGTAATTAACATTTTAGATCATAATATACATTACTTTGTCTAAAATATGCAAAGGAATTTTTAATCATTTGAATTTATTTCTTCTAAAATGTCAATTTTCTTTTTACGCTCTTATTTCTATCTCAATTTTCCTGATGATACGGTCTTTGGGAAGTTTGACAGTTATCTGTCGGGCTCCCTTCTCTTTAATCAGGCAAAACAATTAATGGCTCCAAAGATTTTCAGGCTGTGTAAAACACTTACAATTGTCCAGTAATCCGAATCAAACTTCAACTTTGAAATGTGTAAAAACAATAAATCAAATTGGTTGAGTAAGATTCTGCCATACTTATAATTTTTACTTGCAATTATCTCTGTACTTGTAGTAGAATCTTTTGGCCTAAACTTGTTCAAACTTTGACTTCATAAAATTTTGCTCAAGTGACCTTACTTTCTGTCTAGAATATGGTTAAATGTTGAATATCAGCCGCTATTTGTAGAGGCATAAGCAGAAATTTGTCCCATCAAATCAAATTCTTCAAAAATCTGGTATTGGCAGTATCAATATTTTCTTGTACGATTTATGTCTGATGTTGAAATTTGGAGCACGAAACCAGTTGATTGGCCATTGGCATTTTATGTAGTCTTTCATCCTTCATTTTAAACCCACATAACACTGAAATAATTAATGTTACAGGGGCAGGTTCATTTCAGAGGAACATAAATTTATATCTCATAGTGGATCGTAGTAGATTGTCACCAACAAGAGAAGAAAGAGGATTTGCAATAACATTTTTCATTTCTGTTACTTGTGTCAGCGATGGTAGGGTTTTCTTTGAAAGCTCTCTGTTTTATTTCGATTTTCCTAGAGACAAGGTCTTTGGAAAGGTTGATAATCCCAAAATAATATGTTTTTTTTTTTGTCTTCCTCTGTCAGGTAGAGGGAAGAAAAAATTTCAGAAGCAGAGCATATTTCTACAACCAAACTTGGAGCTTTGAAATTTAATTGATTTTCTGTTGTTGGCTTATTCGTACGGCGAATCCTGTATGCAGCTTGGTAGATAACTTCTCCATTTACATTAAATCACTCAGCAAATGAAGTTTGCATATGCTTTTATTACATGTTGCCTCAGAGCTATACTGGGCCACTTTCTCCGGAGGACAACATTGAAGAGGTTAGTGAAACTTGAATTTCCTGCTATGGAAGAAAGTTACAAATAGGTAATTTTTTGTCCTCCTTGTTTATTTGTTATTCGTAATCTAAATAACAGATTGAATAAAATTATGCATGTTGTCTGGAATGAGCAACAAAACTTATTGACTTTTAAAATTTTTTTTTTCTATTTTGGAATTTTAGATTCAAAACTGAAATTCTACAAGGCAAGATGATGAATTTACGATTCTCCCTGCATAGGCATGCGAGGATTTTCTTCAGAATTCATACTTGATTTTTAAATGTAAACTTATGCCTCTGTTATTTTATATAGTATTTAACTTAATCATGTTATGCTTCACTCTCATGAAATAATGTTACAGGGCTGGGCAGTAGATTTATTTCTGAGGCACATAAATTTAGTTATCGAAGTGGCTTTAATGCTTTGTGGTCTACAAGAGTGAGAATGTGACCAGCTAGAGAAGAGAAGAAGATTGCAACATATTTTTCTCTTTATCACTCGTCTGAGTTTTGGTTTGACTTTCCATATAAGCTCTCTGTTATATTTTATTTTTCTGGAGATAGTGTTGTTCGGAAGTTTGACAATCATCCCAATATAACATCCTCAGCTTTCTTCCAGGTTGAATAATTTAAGCCTGGAAAAGAATCCCAAAATTGTGTATTGTTGAGAACGGTACCCTGAAGACAAATTAATTAGTTATCCTTGGTAACTTTTCTCTATTCTTTCATTTATTTGTCTTCAATTAAAAAAGCATAACACTGAAACTTTTACCCCGGTTATGTTGTGTTTTTTTACATGCAGATATTGATTTGCTACTAAGGCTAAATATGCTGATAATTATCTGTAATGGACTCAAATGGTGTGCCTGCAGCAAAGATCAATTTGTTAGTTCAGCTTGGTCACAGGTCTGTATTTTTTCTCATTTTTTTATGTTCCATTCATGAAGTGTATCATAGAACTTTTTGACTGTCATACAGTTATACTTTCTTTTAATATGCGGAATTCATTTCTCACACATGCTACCTATTCTGAGAATTTAAAGCTCTATAACCAATCAGCAGATCGATAAAGTACTGAAGACCAAAGCTATGAAGAAATTGGCGTTATCTATCAAAGCTATCTCATGTATGTGATTTTCAATTGTTGAGACAGCATAATATATTTCTTACTAGGAAAACTTGATTCGGATATTTTGATTTTAATGCAGCGAAGCTATTTTAGCATGTCATGGAATATTTTCTTGAAGAATCAAGGTCAGAAGATGGTGTGTAACAGAAGCTTGGAAGAACGTACGAGGTTCTCTACATCAAGTTTCTCCACCTAAAGTACATTAAAAAAAAATTCTTTTCTTCTAGCTTATCGAAACCAACATGAATTTCCATCTACAGAACATTGTTTCACACGGGAGAAAATTGACAGAGGCCAATCATCCTCGACGTATCCGTATAATCTCCATCAATACCTCTTAGAGGTCAGAGTCTTAGTTCTCAAAAAATAATTAGCTATTTTTTAATGTTTAAGAGCTATTTTGTTTATTAAGGAATGTTACTTTCTATTCACAGGAATGACAAGTCATTGTTACATTGATCGAGGATGATCCAGCTAATAAATTGATGATTGGTCACAAATGGTTAGTTATACTTTTTCAATGCCCTCTGTTTTTCTTCATTTATTGATGGTTGTTAGAAAGCAAATCATTCCATTGTGTGACTGGTTTTGTTATTTCTTTAAAATGCAGAAGTAATCCACTAATCATGCTACCACGGCAAGCTAGTATATATATATATAAGCTCCGTTACTGATTAGCAGAGGAAATGTTCAGTGGCAGAAACTTCGGTGAGGATTGCAGAATATTTTGTCAAACCTATGCTATATGTGTGCACAACAATTGTGTGTATGCACAGTGCATGCTCATGTCAAGTGTGTGCACAACAGTATTGTGCTCCCACACTCGTATCAGACATCTTGATCACAATTGCTGATCAAGATTGTGAGCACACTGCTTTTCTATGCTAACATCACATGTCTGACTCAACTTGGCACAAGTTATGTTTTTGTCCAAACAACTAAGATATTTATTCCCATCTTTTGAGCTGTCATAAGGACCACATACATGTGTCACAATATCCTCTTATGGTCCAGGGAAAAATCATGTTTTTTCCTGATTTGGTTGTGGTCCTAAAATAAAGGTGGAATCATTTCCTCATTTGGACAATCATGAATCAGCCTTTGTTTGCTGACATGACACAAATTGTTGAGCAAGAAAAATCCATTATATTATCTTCCTTTTAGCGTATTTTGAACTAATCTTTGATTTTATACTTGCTTGTGCTCTGAAATTTTCATCCTTGTTGAATGGTGACTAGAACTTGGTTCCATTGTTGATGCTGGAGCATGGCTTTTGGCATGTGAAGCTTAGGTGGAGCTCAAGTGTTCTTCGTGTGTGTTCCCAACGTGAAGAGATCTTTGGAGCGACAAGACATTAGAGATTCAGAAGGTGGCATTTAGTGTAATTAGAATATGAAGTTCTCTTTGCTGTAGCTAAAATCAATTTTGAACTATATCTTGTAATGTTAGTTGTTTAGTAGATTTGCTTCGATCTGGACAAGGTCCCATGGATGTAGGCTAAGAGTAGTTTTAGCCGAACCATGTATATGCTCGTGTGCTTTATATTTACTGCTTATGGATGTTGATTTATGTCTTAACTTGATAACCATTAATCAACTTGGTAAAGACTTCCGCTGCCCTTTAAGAAATGGGTATCCTAACGTTAAGTAGAGTTCACCATGTGAAACCCCGTTTTTAATCCTAATACATATTAAATATTCTGTGTGATTTTATTTTTATGGAAGGGGATTTCTGTTAGTTTTTAAAGTTTTATTGGGAATGAAATTTGCAAGAAAAGGAAGCTGTGGTTTGCATGTAACAAGGGCAAATCTGGAGGTTTATTGAAAGAAAAGCTGATGTGGTAGGGTTTAGCGGGATTACCGTAATCTAGGAGCAGAAGCATAAATTTAGAAAGATTAAAATATAAAAAAGAAAGAGAAGGGGCTGATTTTGGCCCAAAAATGAAGAAGAAGAAAGATGAGAGAAGAAAACCGAGAGAAAGAAAAAAAGAGAAAGGAGAGAGAGAGAAGAGAAGAAAGAGTGATAGAGTGAGAGAGGAAGAGAAGAAAGAAGAAGAAGGAAGAAGGGAAAAACAAAAAAATTGAGAGCGGTGTTTGCTTTTGTCTTTTAGTAAGCATGCATGTGATTGACGATGGATCTCTTCTCCTTTCTTAAATTTAGACCTTGGCTTAGATTAATTTCTTGTCTTTGGGCGTTAGGTGTGGAGGAAGGGAATCTTGAGGTTGTCTTTGCACTTTCGGCTTAGCCTCAAAATGGTGATGGACTAGGCAAAAAAAAAAAAAAAAAAAAAAAAAAAAAAAAAAAAAAAACTCTTTTAAAACTCGATCCCTGTTTGCATGTAAAGCGTTGATTTCTATTATAGTGTTGATCCAAATTTGGTGTAATCTTGTTAAATCTGCCTTGCATGTGTCGGCTGAGCTGACTTTGAAGTTTGCATGTCCAGTTTCGATTCAGCACCATGTCTTGATGAAATCTGGAATTTATTGAGTGGAAAATGCATTAAATCCTTTTCTAAAGTTTGCATTTTTTCAAATTGCAGTTACTTGATGTTTATTGTTTCAGGCATTTAAAAGTTATGTTTAAATTGATTATTTGGAATATTGTTTGTACCATGAGATGAGTTGTGGATGTTGTTGATTAAAGAGTAGATGGAGAAAGGTTATAAAATGGGCAGAATTAGAAATGCTGAACTTGGCATGCATGTGTGCATTTTATGCATATACATAATGTTTGTGAATAGAAAAGAAATTATGGGAAATTGTATGCTGGATATGGTGGCTGACTATTGTGGTTAACTGAAATTTGAGATTTAATGCTCGTTTATATGGGTAGAGCAGTATGTTGACCTAAAGAACCAAGAGTTATTAAGTATGTTTTTGGTTATAAAAAGTTATGCTGTGAAATTCTGACGCCCAAGCTTCTGAAAATTTTATATATGTTCGGTTTGTAAATGAAGCTAAATTTCAGATATTTTGTTTAGACTTATTAGAGATTGGTTGAAAATTGATTTCACCCCAAAATTCGAAGTATGGATTTTTTTAATGAATTTTGAATTCTGCTATGAAATTCTGGAATTTCATGTTCTGTAAAGCATGCATTTTTCAGAACTGAAATAATGCACTTATACTTATCCAAATTGAGTGATTTTAAATTCTGGTGAATCCTAATGTGTTTAGTTTATTCTGGAGAGTTTCACGAGGTTTAATTAAGGGCTGAATTGTTATGAATTTTACAAGTCAGTAACCTCAATTCTGGAAACAGTTGGCAGATTTAAATGAGTTGAAAGAAAATTTGTTTTAAATAGTTATTGATCTGAAAGAACTTGAAAATATTACGGGATCACATATATTGTCTTGAATGGCCCATTGAAATTATAGCTTGATTTGGTGAGTGGATTAAACCAAATCTTCTTCCAAATCCTTAAATCCATGCTTGCATGTTAACTTGTGATTTTATTTTAAATGTTTTGATGAAGTTTGGTATATATCTTACGAGTGTCGGACATTGCTATGGTAATGTGATGTTGAAAGTAATTTTTAATCTGGGTTAAACTGTCATTTTAAAACATGTTTGGAAATTTTCAATTTCACCCCTGGATGTGATTTTTGAATGTTATGTCATTTATGCATGATTTATAAGCACATTGTGGTATGTTCTTGACTTATATATGTACTTCAGATTAACATGAGTTCATGATCAAATGATCAAATGAGAGTTCAGTGATTTGATAATATACAAATGAGAAAATGAAAAGGGTTTATTTGTCAGTTTTGAGGCATGTTCATAAATCTATTTTTCCACCTTGGGCATAAATATCATATTTTTCAAGCAAACTATGCACTTTCACGAGAATATTTTAGACTATATATAAGAATTAAGTGGTTTTCAAACCACCCATACGAAGTACCCATTCCCCAGAGACAGATTTTTGGCTGCCCGAGTGACGTAGGATCCCGCCGGGTATGACAGTTTCAGATTTTGGCTCTGCGCATGCGTATGACAGATTTTATTGGCTCTGCCGTCGTTGAGCGTGGTCCGCCGGTATGACAGATTTTGTTGGCTCTGCTTGGGCGTTGAGTGGTCCGCCAGGTATGACAGATTTTATTGCTCTGCCTGGGCGTTGAGTGGTCCGCCAGGTATGACAGTTTTCAGTAGCTCTGCCCCGCGATGATAGATCTTGCTGGGTATGACAGGTACATCCCTTGCTCTGCTTGCGTGCGAAGCCCCCAGGTAAGACGATTTCCCCGAGGGTACTAGTTGCGGTGAGAGTTTTCTGTATTAACATAATCAGTTTTAGAATGTTCAAAATCACATTAAATTTTTAGTATCACTATGAGTGATAGTCTCAATATGAGTTTTCAGAATATTATTAAGAGAGCTTTGAGTATTAGCCACAGTTTCGAAATAAGATATCAACGTATAATTTCAGTATCAGTAAAGCTACAATACCAATTTAAAGTTCAGTTATCAGCATAAAGTTTGCAGTATTCCAAAATCAGTTTATCAGTGCATAGTTTTCAGAAAATCAGTTTTTAATTTTATATCATCACAGCAGTTATAAATTTATGTTACCAATTTTGTTTTGTGAATCATGAGTGTTCATTGAATGATGGTTTGGAGTTTTTGCAGCATGACTAGTAGAGTTATTATTTTCATAATCATATGCATTCATGAGTGTGACATAGATGGTTCAGCATGCCTTACAGGAAATATTGTTCTCAGAAGCATAAGCACTTATAGTTATGTTTTAAGTTTCCAGAAAAAGAATTTTAAGCATTCAATGATGAGCTATAATTCAGAATTTGTTTTCAGCTTAAATGATGAGATTACAGTACTTAGAACAATTTTAGAAAACGAGTTATACATGCATACAGGAATGATTAGTTACTTCCATAACACGTTCATAGAATCATGTTGTTTTCAGGATTTCTTAAGAATTATTCATGCCATGACATTGTTGAAGAATGTTTTGCAAACTCTCCCCAATCCCCCACTCACTGAGTATTTCAGCTCACCCCTTTTTAGACCCTTTCCCCAGGTTCACAGGGAGTCGTGCTGAGGAGTGATTCCTCTCGAGGTTGGGCCCTTACGTCATCGACTCATCATGTGTGTAAAAATGTCTGCTTGTTACCGGTACCGAATTATGTTTTATCCTATGTTATCTCCTGGCTGATTATAAAAGAAGAATATCTGATACCATCCGTTTTTGGATTTTATTAACGTACAAGTTAGCTTCAGATTTTCAACATATAATATATATTATTATATAATATATATATTATATATTATATATATATATATAATATATATATCTTATGTGTTTAGCTTTCAAAACGAGTCCAAGCGATATTTTTATGAAAAACGTATTTAGAATACAGGTTTTAGATTCCCACACGGCACGTCTCGGCACCCGAGTCTCATAGGTGCGCCCGGAGCTATGGGGTAAGGAGGGTCGGAGTGGGCGGCGTGTCACACCAAGTCTAATGTAACATGTGGCTGATAAAACAAGTTGTCAATCTCAGGTTTTAACATTTGCTTGGTGAGCTTGCCATCTGCTTTAAGATTTCTATATCTGTTTTCATATCTTTTTTAGAAGCAGAACTCTTAAAAATATAGTAGGTGCATGGCTATTAGAAAAGTTTGCTTAAAAAAAAAAAATAACTTCTGAATAGTGAAAGGATTTGGTCATACATGTGATTA